ATTTGACTCAAGATGTCCTCCATACGCTTGACGGTTTCTACTGGCACTTGCTTATTAGGGTCATTGACTTGAGTGGTAAGCCCTTTAAGCATCTCGGCAAGTCCACTGACGGTTTGTTTAAGTTGGTCGACTTCTTCTTGACTGGCCATTATTAAGAACTTTTTCTTGCGTCGAATCGGTTTATCGAAGAGTAGTACTTAAACGAAGGTGTTGTCTTTGATTAAACGCCCTTCTCTTCTTGACCAAGTGCTATAAAATTAAACCATTGACTCGTTTAATGACTTGACTCGAATTGACTTTTATTTTTTATTGGGTTGAAAAAGCAAAAAATTGGTGCATATTTTTGGAATCAAGTATGGGGATTTTATCATGGTTTATGTTGGGAGGATAATATCCGACTTACCCTCCTAAAAAAATGACGGAAAAGCGCACACAAGACTAGGCATGGTCATGGTGAAAAGACATATACAAAGTGTGTGCATTGACTAGTGAGTGAAAGTGACATGCCCAAGACTCGTGTAACGACCATGGGACTATGTGCTTAGACTCAATCAAGAACCAAATTAAGACCTTGGTTATTAAATTAATTAATCAAAAAGTTTAGACTCAACGCGAAGACTCAGAAAGGAAAACCGAATCATCGCGAAATGATGGAACTATCACATCGCGTTGGTTCTATCGCAGCGCGATATAAATATCGTCGCGATAGACCTAACTTCTGCGCTACAAGACAAACTTTCGCGCCAAAACTGGAACGTTAGTTTAACTTGTTTTCGGTAAGTCTTTCAAAAGGGAAGCCTATACTCTTAGTAGGTCAAGTATGTTTAGACTTTATTAATCCGATTTCATTAATTAATTAATTAAGCAAACTCCTTTTTAGTCATTAATTAGTTTATTAAGACTTTATAAACACAAGTCAACACAAAGGCTAGTTTAATCACAGGCAAGATATGCACAAGTAAGGAATGCACAACTAGTCAAATAGTCACAATATGATGCAATGAGTTTGCAATAACCTTTGTGATTAAACTAAAGTTCTCTAGTTCTCTAAAGTTCAAGAGTTATGGCAGTCAAAGAGCGTCCATAGTTATGAATCCGGATGCACCGCGCGGAAGCCTTACCTTTGGAAGGGTTGGCGCATATGGATGGGACCCCGCAAGTTATACTTGCTTCCATGGTTTGGTAAATTCACAAACTTGGATGTACATGTCGTTGCACGGAGCGTTCGATTAGCTAGATAGAGCGTGAATTCTCAAGGGCTAAAACCATATGTAGAACACATATGGGTTCAGAAAAGAAGGAAAAACTCAATCAGGAAGTAGAATCGGCGAAACAATACTAGAATCGGTCAAAACAAGAAGGCAGATTCCTGGAGCGATGTCGGAAGAACTTGACGAGAGAAAACAGGAGCCATCGCACAGCGACAGCAATATAGCTTCGCGATATAACTGTCGCAGGGCGATGGATCCTGTCACCTCGCGACAGTTCCTACGCTTTGAGGCAATTTTATGTGTTCTTCGGAATTTCGATTTTCGTAGTATTTTTTCGATTCTAGTTGTGAAAGATATTTCCGACTTTTCCTACGTGTAAAAATCCTATGTTTTTGACGCATTTTGGATGGTCTTTCCAATGTGGACCTTTTTATGATTATGCCACAATGTTAATAAAAATTACGCACATGAATATTTAGAACGTTTCAAGTCTCATCCACTCACTCTAAATTGAATTGCCAAAATAAATTTTAGGAATTAAAATTAGAAATCCTTCCCAGTGGAGTCACCAAAAATGTGCAGGGAATATTTCAAACATCAACTTTGAGCCCCATTGTGGTCATGCATTTAAGCATGATGGCGTCCAAAGGGAAAGAAGCTAGAGATAAAAGGGTCGCCAACAAGTTTTAAGAACTTTTAAACCATTCACGAGTGTAAAGGTTACACCCCATACACGACCACAGAGATCGCTAACTCCATAATGGTCCAGAACCACGACTGGATATTCGAGGATGATGGTATGAATCCAACCTAAAAGAGATTGAACCCGCCCTAAATTGGCCTCTACTTAATTCTTATGATATTCATGTGCGCTTTCCGATTAACATACATACAACAAATTAATCCTAAACCTGTTTAATCTACATTGCTTGATTATTAATGCACAAATAAATCTATTATTGGTGATCACTTGAATTTAAATCATATTAACCTACAATCAAATTATTAATTATCTCATTAGGCATGATTTCAAATAAAAATTCCTTTTAAACCTGTAAGAAGGTGCTTGATCAAGCAATAACAATAAATCATGAACAATCAAGCAACGCATAATAATTATTGACACAAAAATCATCATCATAATCTCATCAAAACATGATTAATAGTAAGATCCTAGGCATGATACTAAACGGATTAATAATAAACCCTAGCATGTCACTAAATAATAATCAAGATTAAAGCTTTATCCTAAACATGATACTAGCAACCAACATGATATTAGAAAAATTAATTAACACCCTAACATGATACTAGAAATCATAAAAGCATCATAACATGATACTAGAAATCATAAAGACATCCTAACATGATACTAGAAATTAAAATAATATTCAAAGCACGAGTTCTATATCAAAGTAATAAGAATAGTAGATCTACTCACTTTGATGCCTTATATCTCTTTTTATCAAAACAATACACGAGTTAGTAACTTCAAGAAAAGAATAAATCAAACAAATAAACAAATAAGAATTGAAATATAGATATGGGACCAAACCCTCAGAACTATCAACCTTTCTTGTCGAGGTCGAACGCAACTACGAGAAGGGCTTGGAGTATTCAAGTCTCGCAATGGACGTATGGTGCTGGGATGTGTTTAGGCTAAGGCTAAAAAAAAGAGAGAGAAAAAAGCTTATAGCTTAGAGAGAGAGATTAAGATGACGGTTGTTGGTGAATCAAAACGAAGGAAAACGACCTTTATTTATTGAGAAAAACGAGGTAAAAGATCAGAAAAAGAGTCAGAATTCGACTTGGAGGAAAACTGATCGTATCACGAAACGACAGCTATATCGCGGCGCTATACTTATATCGTTGCGCGAGATTAGTATCGCAGCACGATCTTATCATCGTTCAGCAATACTTTTGAGAAGATAGATACCGTATAAAATCCGACTTCCAATCAAATTGGGTTAATCGTATTTCTATACGTATACTAGTTTTGTCAAAATTAAATCTATTGAAAATCAAGTGTTTTATCTGAAGTAAAATTCTTAAATTTTTATCTTTTCAAATACAGGATAAATTAGAACCTTCTAGAGGATTCTAGAAACTAATATTAAATCCTAAGGGATTTAGAAATGGTGTTAAGGTTAATGGACCCTCCACATGGTCATTGGGTCGTAGGTAAGGCTCAGTTTGGGCTTAGTATAGTATTTTGGTCATAACTTCCTCGTTATAACTCAGATTTAGGTTTATAATATATCGTTGGAAGCTCTTTTCAAACCCCATCCAACTATTCAATCACTGGACCCAGATTATGGACCAAAATAGTCAGTTTTGGACGTTTTTATAAATTGGACACGAAATGAATGATTTTTAGGACACGAAATGAACTATTTTGGGTTTAAAGACACGAAATAAATGATTTGGGATAGAAAATTTTTAGGAAAGATTAGAAACGGTTAAGGATAAAGGGAAACTCACGAGACTCTTCAACTCTTCACCTAACTCGATAATCAAAGACGTGAAAGGAACTCATCACTGGGTTTGGTTTTTGGGGAGACACAATCAAGTGTCTACACAAACAAACAAAAGAAAATTAGAAAAAAAAAAAATTCAATTTAACGTTAACTATTTTATGAAGTTATGATTATGGCTTACTTGTGGTGGTATATTTTCTGTATTTGAATGATTTGACACTTTTTTCTTGTTATGTTTTGTCTGCTTTGACCGAGAGGCTTTGGCACTTACATCATGAAATTTTTCAGTCCAACTTTTTCTTCGCTTACCTCTTTTTTTCCCCTATTTTGGTTTCAAAGTAATATTGTTAGGAACACATGCTTGTAGCTGTTCACTTGAATTCACCTCAGAAGAAACTCTACCCTTTTCGATAGCAAGGCTCATAAATAACTTATCAACTTGAGAAATCAAATTATTTAACCCATTCTCTAAAAGTGATGATGATTCTTCAAAATTAGATGCTCTCGAAGAAACTTTCACAAATTTTTGACACAATGATTTAATTTATATCTACGAGTAGCATCCAACCGAGGGTCCTCAAGAATAGTTCTTCTAGAAACATCTTCCACAACTTCACTCCTAGCTTCTTTAGTCCAACGTTTCAAAACATATTTCTTAGGGACTAATTTATTGTTCATAGTATCAAGGACCTTTAATGCATGAGAACATAATAACCCCAGTCTTTCAAACATTTTGCAACTACATGAAACAGTTTCGTCGAAGGATCACCTAATACTTGATATTCTTTTCCAATATAGTTGTCATTCTCAAGGTCGGAAATTACAACTCTATATTCATTGGTAAGTTGACCTTCAACACGTGGCTTAATATAAGCTGCTGCCGACCACTCATATTCATCTTGAAATGCTTCAAAAATATTAGGAGTATATATTTGGCTAATTTTGCCTAAGTAAAGGTGTTCTCTTCATCTTAATTCTTGGTAGTTTTCTCTTGAAGCAAACTCATTGTGCAACTCATTTTGACGCTTTAATCCAAGAACTCTCTCAAATTGTTTAAAAAACCGCATTATATCCATGTTGCATTTTAGATAGTCTTTTAAGTCTTTATTAAAGCTTTCACTTAACTGAGTACTTTGCATCCCTAAAGAAAGCACATTTGTCATGTAACATTCTGCCCATTTTCTTTTCAAAGCATATATACTATCTAACCAAGTACCTTTGGTGACTATGCCACGCAATGCTTCGAATGCCTTTTCAAACTCCGCTTCTTCTTTGAAATAATACATATAAGCTTTGAATGCACGAAGAACATCTAATCCGTCATGTAATATGTGCTTGATTGCATTTTCTGTAATATGCCAAGTACATAATCCATGCCACACACAGGCATCACCCCTGAAATGGCCTTTCCCATAGCAATATCTTGGTCAGTGAAAATAGTCTTCGGCTTCTTGTTGCCATGTGTTGCTATAAATGTTTCGAATAACCATTTAAAAGATTCAGCTGTTTCTACATATAAAAGAGCTGCACCAAAAACTGTTGTCTCCCTGAAATGCTTAAAACCAACAAATACACCAAGTGGTCTATGCTCTTTATTTGTACAAAAGGTAGTATCAAAGGAAACTACATCTCCAAATACAGCATAATCAATAAGCAATTTTGCATCAGCCCAAAATATGTTTGTTATTTTCTCTTCACAGTCCAACTGAATTGAGTGTTGCAATGAAGGGTTCTCCACTGTTTGTAAGTGAAAGTATTTTAATAAACTTCCTGCTTCCCCGTACATCATATCTCTATGGCGCTTACTTCGTAGATAATTTTTATGGTCTTGATGAGTGTAGCCAAGATTGGAAGATCCACCCACATGAGCACCAATGAACTCATGAGCTGCTCTAGGACGAATTTTTGAATCATCCACAAGTTCAATATCAATGGCTTGTATTTCAGAAATTTTTCTCTGCGACGACAACAAGTGGCTAGTTTTCGGTGGATGAAGTACATGATTGTGTTCAGATACAAAATCATGAACCTGGTAATTTCCTGTAGATATAGTTAATATAATACCAATGCGGACCTTGCATTTGGTTCTTCTTTAAGCTTGAGAATTGGTTGTCAAGTGGTCTCGCTTGTCAGGTTGACGAAAACCCTCTTTTGAATAAACAAATCTCCTAGAAGTTACCTGTCCATCCTTGCCCCTGTTCTCATAATTCTTACGAACGTTAAATCCCATTTTCCCTTCATATTGTAACAAAAAATTCCAAGCATCCTCCACCGAATCAAATTCCATGCCTACCCAAGGAACCCAATTTCCTACTTCGTCGTTACTATATGTCATTCTAAGACTAATAAATTTTATTATTGCTATTAGTATGAATCATTAGAGATCATCATTCAAATTATAATTAATTTAAAGTGTAAAAATAAAAAAGATATAAAAAAACTGAAGTTTTTCAATTGAAATATAAACTAAAATAGGGCATATATTGGAGCAATTTCATCTTACTTGGAATGGTTGAATGAAAATACAAAATCACAAATTGTAGACTTCTTGATCAAATGTTGCGCCTTGAATTATTGTCAATGACAGATGATTGTTGCTTTAATTTTTTTTAATGGGTATATTTATAGGTTTAAATTTGGGGAAGCAAATAAAGAAAAAATTAATTCGCTTAACAATGGTGGAGATATAGGCTCATAGTAGTGAAGATTACGGATCATAGTAGTCAAGATTTTGGTGGGAAAATAATTACTCCTAGTGGTGAATATTTGGTGGAAAAAGCACTTAAGCAGTTTAGGCACCTACGTTACTTCGGTAATTGCTAATTGCCTTTTTTTTCTTTTTTTTTTCTTTTTTTTTAATGAATTAAGGGAGCAACATCAACCGTTGATATACATGGAGAGCTGTGATAAGCCCAACTCTACATGGTAGAATTTTCCTCCAACTCTAGAGGATCCGAACGCATTACTCTCTCTTTTCCATCTTTCTCTCCTCTACTTTAATTTCTGTCTCCTCTAAGCGTTTTCCCCGCCAGTCCGCCACCACTGCCAAGGTTTCTTACCGACTATCGCCATCATCTCCCTTCTACCGTCGTCACTTCCTTCCATCATCATCTTTACTCCATTTTTCTTATTAACAAGAGGTGCTAAATTCAATTCATTAGTGGTCGAATTGACCAATGATTTATGATCGACAACCTTCACACTCAAATTTGACAACAAAGGAATTGAATTATGCCTACGTTGAGATTTTTTAATGAATTACTCCCTTTGTTTTATAATAATTGCAACACTTTCCTTTTACATCCATTTAATAATAATTACAATACTTCTTTATTTGGTAAGAAACCACTACTAATTTATTATTTCTCTTTCCTACCAACCCCACTTACATTATTTTTCTTATTTTTTTTTTATTAATTTTCTCTTCTACTAACAATTAAATACATCCTCACTAACTATATTTTATAATATAGAATTCCCCTTTTGGTTACAAGAAAATGAAGTAAATTGTGACGCATTTGCTATGACGCTTTTAAAAAATGTCGCAATTTATTTTTGACCACCAACCTATTAATTACATATATTGGTGGGAGGAGGGGTGTTTTTTTTTTAAAAAAAAAAATTTAATTATTATTAAAATAACATATATTAAGGTTAAATTAGTCATTAAGTCTTTAGTTAACTAGGGTTCGACTTATGATTGTATTTTAACGTCATTAATGTCACCATTGGATTATTATATTAATTAAAGTTCAGCAGGGATAATAAAAACTTTTACAATTTACCACTGAGAATATTAAAAAAAAAAATAGTGTTACCAAAAAGAATTCCCCTTAAAATTTTTGTTTGAGGGGGTTTAACCAAATAAAAGTTGTGAGACCCATTTATAAATTTAGCTTGTACTTCTTTTATTTCTTCAATACTGTAACATGTAGAAAATTCCGAAATTATGCTCTCCAAATTACAATTTTAATCTTTAAATATTTTATTTATTATATAACAATTAATATTATAAAAACTTGATATTGTGAAAGTATATACTACCTCCATTTTACATGATATACAACAATTGGGTATTTTTTTTTTTTGTAAGAAATAAAATATTTAATTGTTACCTATAATATAAAATGGAGGTAGTATATTAAAATAAATATAATAATATTTCACAATTTTAACTAATGTAATTAAAGAGAAGTGTATGAATATTGAATAGTATCATATGATTAGTTGTATTGAAATTGAACTACGGTTTTTATTAAGGGAAACCAAATGAAAAGATAATAAAAGTGTCTTTTTTATTGTTCCTTATCTTAGTTGCTCCTATTCTATTTAATAATAATAAAAAATAAATAAAATCATAATGTAGGAGTTCTTTTAATTATGGAAAGTTGGATTACTAATTCTACTTCATATTGAATTGAAGTAGCTAGGAGTTATCGTACTTATTTATTAACTTTATAAAATCAAATGTAATTCTTATTTCCTCATATTCTTCATTAGCTCCAAGCTCTCTTTTTCTCTCTATAAAGTATTGACATTTTTCTTCTTTTTTCCAAGCATAATTTTCATTGTCAAATTCATAATGATTTGTGAAGGCGAGAGAATGAGGTGGTTAAATAATAAGAAACACCGTTTTAGGGTAGGACAAGTTATTAATGAAATCGATGCAAATTATGTACCAATACAAACTCTTGGAAAGGGGAGTTACAGTTTGATTTGTTCAGCGATCAACACGGATACAATTGAAAAAGTCGCACTTAAGAAAATAAGTGATGTATTCTTCGATCACATTGTGGCTCTTAGGACCTTAAAGGTAATGATAATCCGCAATGTTTCGTCATGACTACGTGATTGGATTACGGGATGTTATGATCACTTCCCCTAAAAACAGTTTTAAAGATATTTATTTAGTTTACGAAATCATGGATACTGATCTGGATCACATAATCAAGTCTCCTCAACCACTTTCTCATGATTACGTCAAGTTTTTTATGTTTCAGGTTTGTCTATTTTTAACGAGTAACTAAATATAGATTTAATTTCCTGTTTTATGTTTCAAGATTTAATTAATTTTAATGTATAAAATGCATAACAATAATAATGTTATTTACTAGTAATACATACTAAATTTATGTTTTATGTTTCAAGACTTAATTAATTTTAACGTATAAAATTATTCATAAAAATAATGTATTTACGTTTATACTCATTCTTAGTTTGTGTTTTTCTGTATGTAGTTACTGGAAGGCATGAAGAATCTCCATTATGCAAACATAGTTTATCGTGATTTAAAATCGGCAAATATTTTAATAAATGCAAATTTCGACCTGAAAATATGTCACAAAGGTGAATGTAATGTTAGAATTTATGGAAGTGTTGATAGGCTTTGGTGTTTTCGGAGTAGTAGTTTGGAAAGAGAATGAGTGAAAAGTATAAAAAAAAAAAGGTTGACTTTTATTAATTTGGTTATGTTTCTTCTTTTTACATCTCCATCATCATACATGGCCATCTATTTATAGGCCTAGCTTAGAACTCTCTAGATTTAGCTAGTTGTATTTCTAATTCTAGATTATTCTACCTAATTCTCTAATTTTCTACATACCACATGTTACATCACATGCTAAATATATTTACAAGATATTTCTACAAGTTTTTACAGTATTGTTCTAGATTTTTCCAATATCTCATGTTATATTTTTATACAACATAATTCTAGATTTTTCTAGATTATTATTTTTTAACAGGTGAATCATTCTTGAGTGATTATGTAGTAACGCGCTGGTATAGAGCATCCGAGTTACTTGTCTGCCACGACAACTATGATGCAGCAATCGACGTTTGGTCGATCTATATGATGCATCTTTGCGGAGATATTAGGGCGCAAACCTCTCTTCCCGGTGGAAATCCCCTCGAGCAAATTAAACTTATCATAACTTTCTTGGAAGTCAGAGTGAATCTGATCTCGCCTTCATAAAAAATCAAAATGTTGTTAAGTACAACAATGGATTGCCTTATTCAAATGGGGTTTGATTGGAGGATGAATATCCTTGGGCTAATCCTTTGACCTTAGACTTGTTGCGAAAAATGCTTGTTTTGAATCTAACAAAGAGGATTATAGTCACAGAAGTGATTCGACACCCTTACATGGCTGACAGCATGCATATTCCAACTGAATATCCTCCTGCTCAAAGGCCACTCGACATTGATATTGAGGCGAATGTAGGAGAGTCATGTCTAAGAGAGTTGATGTGGAGAGAAATGGTGTTTTATCATAATGTTTGATCTCTAGAAAATTCGAGTTGTACTAAACAATTGATGGTTTCTCCAAAGTTGAAAAAAATAAAAAAATAAAAAAAAAAACCAATTGATGGTGAAATAGCTTAGGTCTACTTTGGTTATTGTTTGTGAATTCAAATGTGTTAGATATAAGAAAATTTAAGGGAAATTCTCTTTGATAACACTATAATAATCCAATGGGGACATTAATGACGTTAAAATACAATTATAAGTCTAACCCTAATTAACTATAGGGTTAATGACTAATTTAACCATAAATGGCTGAGTTGGTGGGGAAGGGATTTTTTTAAAAAAAAATGTGCCACAAAATCCCCACCCTATAATTTTCCTAAAAATTTTTGCAGCACCTAGAAGTGCTGTGATTATTACGAAATCAATGGAGTATTTCTTTCTCTCACCTCTCCTCTCTTTTAGATCTGCTATTTTATATTGATGCGAAGGGCATTAATGGTGGTTTGCAAGGTGGGATTGGGTTAATTAGTTGGTTGATGTGGTGGTTCATTCAAGGTAGTGCTAGCAATGGTGTAACTCTATTTCAAGCTTGGCTTGCTATAGAGGATAACAGTGAACGAAAGTTTTATGGCTTTTACCCAGTAAAGATGCCAAAGTTTTAATTTGAAAAAGAAAATATCACCTTATAACAAATCCTTCTGTAATTTTTGCCCCATTGATTAGTACTCCCTTAATTACTCCCTCCGTTTTTATATACTTGCTCCATTTTTCCATGTGCAGATTTTTAGGAGAAATTGGAGAAAGTAATAAAATATGGAGGTAGTGGGGTAGGTGGAAGAGTAAAAAATTGTAAATATACAAAAGTAGTTTAGAGAATTGGAGGAGAGAGAATATGAAATTAATAAGAGAATGATTAATGTTAGGTCTACTAGTTGAGAGAAATTAATTAAATATTGTAAAAACTTTCCAAATAAGGAAATGGAGCAAGATTTAAAAAACGGCCGAAAATGGAATGTGGAGCAAGTATTTAAAAATAGAGGGAGTACTTCAAGAAAAATCCAGATAAGGCCTTAAAAGTAAAAATGT